TATTGTAAAGTTACGGAAATATATGCGGGTCTCGTGTTTGAAATTGGATTCTTTGTTTCATGCTCAAAGTTTCAAGTATCCTGGCGGTGAAAAAAAAAATCAATTTGTCTTGGAAAATTTTTACTGTGCAGGTCTAGCTTCAGTGCTTCTCATTTTTCATGGTCAGTTTTTTGGTGCCCAACACGTTGCCAGGCTCCGGAAAAACGAGAAACATGGACGCCAAACTTGAAAAGCAAAAATGTTTTGTAACTCGGCTTCTAATGCTTTTTAAGACAGCTTCATTTAAATAACATATATATTCTGATCTAATCAATTGCCCCATTAGAGATCAGGCTTAGATTGTTTTAAAGTTTTCAAATATTGTCAATAGTAGTTATAGCGTTTTTCTGTTATTTGACTCTGAATGCGGCATTTTCGTTGTTTTTTTGCTTTGTCTTTCCTTCATTCGGTTCCTTCTTGATTRCCATAATCTTTAACACTAAGAGTCTTAATCATTAAAATGATTAATGTGAACCTTGTCGTGGTAAAACAGACTAATAATTGTTTTGATTTTCAACAGAAAGGAAAACAAAGCATGGCCTGGAATTCAAAGGTAACTGGTAACTTTATTTTAATTCCACATTACGCGAACGTCAAGTTCATTTGTGTAAATACAAAAGAAAGTACTTATTACATACACTATCGATTAAGCAAAGCTCTTTCGTGAGGAAAGCACAAAATACGATAAGTATTTATTTTGTAGATAGTATTCAAGCATTGATAGAACGACTCAAAAAAGTCCAAAAAAGAGGTAAGTGGAACACTCAACACTTAATTAAGAGCAGACTAATAATTTATTTTCCTAAAAAATATGATTTTTGAAGTCATCAGTATATCTATYAGAGTTAGAGAGTACAGATACACGGAGAAATGTAATCTGTTCGTTAAGTAACAGCTGGCTTTCAAAAAGTGGTAACTCGTGTGTATTTGATTACTGCTTTTAGACTACTTCAAACAGACAAAAGAAAAGTTTTAATATCCGATTAGATAATAATATTAATTTAAAGCTTGTGGTCATATAAATGGRTGCCGTATCTCTGGGATTATAAGTCTGCCTTTTCTGCTTCGTCTTGTGGTGTACGTTTTTGTTTTCATCACATTTCGACGTCATCTGTGTATCTCATWGACTRCAGAAGWACGGAAAAGGGAGTGTATTTTTCAAATAACCTGCTTTTTAAAGTCGGGACCCGTCAAGGACTTGTACTCAAAATAGTATACTAAAAATAATCGTGCTTTAGTAGTTTGCCGGTCTTTTCCATTAYCTATTTTCAGCGTCWCTCCAATGGAATGTTCGACKCAAATCGGTGAAGTTAAATTTTATGCTACCTCATTTAGTTTTTAGATTTATTTCATTTCCTGAAACATTGAATATGCTAGGGAAAAAGATTCGACGTTTGACCCATGGAGCCAGACTTTAGGCGTAGCATTATTTAAACTGTTGCTCATTTAAAGGGACACTGTCAATGGCACGCATGCGCGAGTAAACTTGAAAACATTACGCTTATGACTCCAAGTTGGCGCGACATAAATCAGCTCGTAAACGTAAACAGATCTAGAATATCCCAAAGTGTGTCAAAAGCACCACAAAATGATTTACCACGAAGGTAATACTTTCAAAGTCCGTTAGAGGCGAGACTGTTACTGCGCATGTCATCCATTGACAGTGTCCCTTTAACATTAACTTAAGTAGAGTGACTGTCTCCTTTTGCAACCTTGTTTAGACACTCTGAACAGATAGCTGTAACTTGGCAGGTTTTTATCAGAAATGAAAAATATTTTAGATTTAGGGTTTTCAAATAACGTTCTTTCACTGTACAAAAAACTGTTTTCGTGTCATATGCTCTTTAAGAAAGGGAAATATACGAATTATTTTTATCTGGATTTATATGAATAAAACTTATATAACAAAACGATAAAATTGATCATCTCATCATCCACACCAAGAATTATAATTTTTTTTTTACTACAACATGACATAGCAATATTGAAATCATTTATAAACGTATGTCAAAATAGAAGTTCTTAGATTGTACACACTCTACGAAATAATGATCAATCGTTTCATGATGTGCATGGCATAAAGAACACGAGGAATCTTCTATTATTTTAAATCGGTGTAAATCAAAATTCAGATATAGAACATTATTCAAAATTTTATACTGGAATTACTGTACCATTTTGATCATCAACTGATCGATGCAATCCTTCAACACTCTTGAGTAAATAACATACAAGTCGAGCCTCTTCAATTATGCCAATATGCAAATAAGAAAAAATGTACTAAAGTTTAAAACAGAATAAAGGACAAAGGATGGCATTGTCATTCGTCCAGAGTTGCTCTGGGAATTCTCACATAGTTCCATTCCGTTTTTGTGTTCATGAGTTGCTCTGCTGGGACGTTCCTGATCTTTACCGCTTCCACTATCTGTCTGGCCATAGGGTCTCCATTGAAAGAAGCAGTGACGTTCATGTCGAAATCCTGTTCTATCTTATCGTGCTTAGCTTTACAATGTCTCCATAGTGCTGATTCGTCATGTCTTCCTGCCAAAAGTCTCAGATGCTCTATCCCTCGTGTATATGCGTTTCTCGAAGTTTCGCCAAATGTAGACATCCCCGCATTCTTTGCACTTGATTTCATACGTTACTCAGTTTGTATCACACGACCCTCCATCCTCCATCACCCCTTTACACACTAACCAATCTTCTCTGTCGCACGACCCAGGAGGAGACGACGAGGTCTGTTCTTCTAAGTAACTGTTCTTGTACGAATGTTTTCCTGGGAAAGGGATTTAAAGCTACATTGATGACAAACTTACAAGCAAATGTGGCGCCCTTCCTTATTTAAAATAATTTTGTTAATGGCAAAAGTTTTTAATGTCAAAAAGGGTTATATAACGTTTTTATGTCAAAAATGGCTTATATTTTTTTTAGTTGGGAAATGTTTATTTTCCTGGCAAAAATTCTTAGTGAGCATTCCTTGAGTAGAGAGTTCTTTTTCCTGAATTTCTCGCTGGCGACCAGTTGTGACTTACAGCTGGCTGGGACATAAGAACAGATATGTTTCTCCCAGGAACACGTCGGCTCCTCCTAACGACCTTTGTTTTAGTGGGTCAGATCTCTGTAAGAGCGTTTTCAGCGATATTCCTGCTTGTTCCACAATCTTTATCTTGAACCACTATTTCTTTACCTCGCCCTGAATCAGTAGGTATATTTAACAATTAGACCTCGAGTTCGAGTGGACTACGAGCTAATAGCCCATGAGGCCGAGTCCGCGAGGCCGAATGGGCTATTAGCTCGTAGTCCACGAGGCCGAGAGGTCTAATTGTTTTAGTATAAACATACTAATCGGTCAGATAATGAAAACAAATTGAAATATCCTTAAAATAATTTATAATTTATTTATTTTGATTTTCCCGC